ACACACACACACCCACACAGTCACACACACACAGTCACACACACACGCAGTCTCACGCAGAGACACACACACGCAGAGACACACACACGCAGAGTCACACACACGCACAGTCACACACACACACGCAGTCTCACATAGAGACACACACACACGCAGAGTCTCACACAGAGTCACACACACACGCACACACGCACACACACACACACAGTCACACACAGAGACACACACAGGGTAAAGATGACGGGAGTCTACAGATCGATGCTCAGCTGATGATTTCTTCTTCTCTGGTTTCTTTTCTGCAGGCCCGACCTCCTGCTGCTTGATGGTGAGTCACACCTCCCTCGCTGCAGCTGTGATGGGAGGAGGAGGTCTGTGACGTATTCTCCATGTTTTGTGTTTCAGAGCCCACCAACATGTTGGACGTCAGAGCTATTCTGTGGTTGGAGAACTACCTGCAGGTAAGGTTAGCCTCTCTCTGCAAACAGCGGCCTCGCTCACAGACGTGTGCGTGAGTGTTTCTCTCACACCTGGATTCTTCTCACCTCAGTTTGTTTACACATCCTGACGATGTCACCTCACGTCCTGATAACGATCCCTGTCACTCAGTGTTAATGCTGGACGTGTTCAGACCACATTGATGAAAACAGGTCAGCCTGCTTCCCAATGAGGAGAAACTGGGGCGTGGCCATATTCAGACTGTAGGTTTAAAACGTTTGTGCGGTGGTGTCAGTGAACGAGGCAGGCTGCGTCGGTTATCTCAGCTGCACTAACCTCATAAGTCATCCCTCCCCTGCAGACCTGGCAGTCCACCATCCTGGTCGTCTCCCACGACAGAAACTTCCTGAATGCCGTGGTCACAGACATCATCCACCTGCACTCCCAGAGGCTTGACAGTTACCGCGGCAACTACGAAAATTTTATTAAAACCAAAGAGGACCGACTGAAGAACCAGCAGAGAGAGTACGAGGCCCAGCTGCAATACAGACAGCACATACAGGTACACACAGGTACAGACAGTACAGACAGGTAGAGACAGTACAGACAGGTAGAGACAGTACAGACAATACACACAGGTAGAGACAGTACACACAGGTACACA